ATTCACATTGTAAGATTTTTTAAATAATTTATTTGTAAATTATGATAAGTATGTTGTAAATAAGTATTTGGTCATTAACAGAATTTCAGCTCAATGGAAGGAGGTTTGGGCTCAAAATCTCACGATACATGGCCCCATTCATTCTTTCCTTAACACGTGTGTCCTGTCCCCTTAGCAGAAAAACAGCCCCAAAGCATGACGTTTCCACCCCCATGCTTCACAGTAGGTATGGTGTTCTTGGGATGCAACTCAGTATTATTCTTCCTCCAAACACGACGAGTTGAGCTTATACCAAACAGTTCTACATTGGTTTCATCTGACCACATGACATTCTCCCCCCAATCCTCTGCTGTATCATCCATGTACTCTCTGGCAAACTTCAGACGGGCCTGGACATGCACTGGCTTCAGCAGGGGGACGCGTCTGGCACTGCAGGATTTGATTCCCTGTCGCCGTAGTGTGTTACTGATGGTAACCTTTGTTACTTTGGTCCCAGCTCTCTGCAGGTCATTCACCAGGTTCCCCCGTGTGGTTCTGGGATTTTTGCAGCATGACAATGATCCCAAACACACCGTCCGGGCAACGAAGGAGTGGCTCCGTAAGAAGCATTTGAAAGTCCTGGAGTGGCCTAGCCAGTCTCTAGACCTCAACCCCATTGAAAATCTGTGGAGGGAGTTGAAAGCCTGTGTTGCTCGGCGACAGCCCCAAAACATCCCTGCTCTCGAGAAGATCTGCATGAAGGAATGGGCCAAAATACCAGCTACTGTGTGTGCAAACCTGGTAAAGACCTATAGTAATCGTTTGACCTCTGTTATTGCCAACAAAGGTTTTATGACAAAGTATTGAGTTGAATTTGTTTCTGACCAAATACTTATTTTCAACCACAATTTACACATTGAACAATTTGAATTCCTGGATTTTTTTTCACATTCTGTCTCTCACAGTTGAAGTGTACCTATGATGAAATTTACAGACCTCCGTCAATATTTTAAATGGGAGAACTTTCACAATTGGTGGCTGACTAAATACTTTTTTGCCCCACTGTAATTAAACGTATTTTCATAATGACGCGTTACACTACTACGTTACTCAAATTGTAATTTCGTTACACCCAACACTGGTCTTTAGGCTGTGTGGGAAAACCTGTGTCTTTACTCAGTGGGAATAAGAATGAGGTGAGAGCCTTGTCGCTGACAAAGAACAATAAGACTATCGTAAAGGGATCTGTCCACACACGCACAAGTTATTATGATGTCTGCTGCGCCCCACACACACACACACACCTTGTCACCTCCATTCACAAAACCAGTTTACACGACAAACACTGCATCTCAATTCAAACACTCCTTATCCCTCCTGTCCTGGAAAACTGGTTTCTCTCTCCCTGGTCTCTCTCTCTCCCTGGTCTCTCTCTCTCCCTGGTCTCTCTCTCTCCCTGGTCTCTCTCTCTCCCTGGTCTCTCTCTCTCCCTGGTCTCTCTCTCTGAAATTCAAGTGGAGGAACTCGAAGGAAATTTGACTAACAAACACTGCAGCTCATGTCTAAGCTCATGTTACACATACATGAGAACCATCCAGAGGCAACACAGACCAACGCCATCAAATCGTTAACAAAACTAATTGTGCAAAAGTAAAAAGTAGATAAAGTCTTGTGAAATACGGATCGCTAGACAGGTTCCTCAAGTCAACAAGATGAGTCTAATCCTCTCACTAAATACGGTGGGGATAAAGTCCACAAGAGCAGTTAAAGCAAGAGTACGTAACTTTAAAGCAGTGGCATCAAACTTAAAAGCTGGGGTTTGTAACTTTCAGACCACACCAACAGAACTCTTTGTGTATTTTGGCCTGTCACATCTTTAGATCAGCTTTTTCAGACAGAAAGGAGAAAATGAGAGGACACCCTCTCTGCCAATTGCTCTTTATTACACAAAAAATTAAGATAGCATGTTGTGGCTTGATATGTTAACAGTATGTTATTTCAAGACTCTTTCTGTTGGAGCTATACGTTTTATCTATGAGACTAGATACTTTAACAAGTGTAATTTATAATTAGGCTAAAGTTACGTACCCAGCTTAAACAGATCATTGTGTGTTTTAGGAGGGTGTAAGTGTCCATACCCCTCTGCTCACAATGGGCCTCATTCACGAATAACTTCGTAAGAAACTACTCAACTTTCTTCTCAAGTTGTCCTTAAGTAGATTTCTAAGAAGTCCCCACGTGGGATTCATCAACGCACTCGTAAGCCGCTGAATTGTTCGCAGCTGTTCTCTCAGATTGATGAATCCCATTTCCTCGTAAGTACAGCGCGCGTGCCAGGTGCTTCATTAGCATAGGTACTTAGCATAAGTAACCGCCCACTAATGCCCATATAAGGGACTGCAGGGCCGTGTGCAGACGGCCTAACAGGCCTAAAGCAAAGAGTTACACGGAGCAAAAGAGTCACCCTTTTTTCTTCTTTTACCAGACTGAGAATAAAGTTATAAAATGTTGACTTAAAAGTCGAAATATTATGATAATAAAGTCGAACTAGCAAAATTATGAGATTAATCTAAGAATATGATGAGATTAATCTCAAAATGTTATGAGCTTAATTTAAAAATATATTATGTATTATTTTAAAGATGAATCTCAAAATGTTTTGAGATTAATCTCAAAATATTTCGGACCCTGGGAGGAGATCCAGCGCGCACCAGCGCTGAGACCAATGCAGACCCGAGGAGAGACTGGAGTGACCAGCACACAGAAACCAGCGCGGACCTATAGGAGAGACCGCATAGACTGGAGTGACCTGACTGGAGAGACCGGTGCGCAGAGACCAGCGCGGACCGAAGATAGACCGCATAGACCAGACTTGAGAGACCAGCGCGGACCCGTATGGATCCAGGAGCATGCAGCACGGACCCGTATGGAGAGAGACCAGTGCAGACCCGTATATGGGAGAGACCAGTGCAGACCCGTCTAGATCCATGGGAGAGACCAGTGCAGACCAGTATAGATCCATGGGAGAGACCAGTGCAGACCCGTATAGATCCATGGGAGAGACCAGTGCAAACCAGTATAGATCCATGGGAGAGACCAGTGCAGACCCGTATATGGGAGAGACCAGTGCAGACCCGTATAGATCCATAGGAGAGACCAGCGCAGAGACTCAGCGCGGACCCAGTAACCTCCTGCAGCAGCAGTATATATGCCGTTGTTCTGTGGCCCGTGGATAAAGAAATGCCCCCTATAAATAGGAAGGGGTCACTAATACACGGCAAGATTTCGAATGTATTTGATAAAGCGTTGGCACATTTCATTTCAAAATGAATTAAAAGGTAGGCCAGATCTGCAGTGAAAAAGGCGGTATATAAAATAAAGATTACTAATAAAGATTACTACAAATAAATAAATACATACATCGATATGACGGACATATCACTGGAATGTTGTATTTTTATTCAACTTCACCAAAGAGGACAACCCCAGCGTGTGAACATGTCGGCACTGAATGCGTACGAGTGCTCCTGAGGACTCGTAGGATTTGTACTTGCCCAAGAGAAATTCTGGTTACGAGAAATATTCGTGAATGCCACTTTCTTCGTAAAAACCGCGTAAGTAGGATTTACGTACAAATCTGTTCCTAAGAACCGTTCGTGAATGAGGCCCATTGTAAGTAAGTAAGTAATGTTTATTTATATAGCGCATTTTACAGACCAAGGACACTCAAAGACGCTTCACATGTCATTATTCTTCCACTCCATACACTGTGGTGATAAACTACTAATGTAGCCACAGCAGCCCTGGGGCACACTGACAGAGGCGAGGCAACCAGTATGTGCCATTGGCCCCTCCGACTACCACCAACCATTCACACACTCCAGACTCATTCTAGGCAATGGGGGAGAAGTGTCTTGCCTAAGGACACAACAGCAGTTTGGCACTTCACAGCCGCAGCCGCCCCACTGTGGCTGGTGTTTCCAGTGGTTAAGTGTCTTGCCAAGGACACTGAGCCGACATCAGTGTGAGTTTGGCGGAGAAGGTCCTGTGGTGGGCTCGAACCCACAACCTTCAGGCTCAAAGGCCAATGCTCTACCAACTGAGCCACTGTCGCTTTAATTCTATTTTATGTCATAAAATAGAATTCCCTGGTACGGTCTTATTCAAAAACTTTTTACGCCAGAAATGGAACTGTAAATGAATAATTATCTTATAATTGATTGTCTTCAGCTCATATAATCCGCCTGTTTTCTTTCGCCTCTAGCTCTGCACAACAACTTTTAGACAACCCCTTTCCACCAGCTCTACTCTCAACTACGATTGGAAGAGGCACAGTTTGACCAGTTCTTTCTTTAGTACCGTGATTACAAAGGCATTTCCCCGGATCGTGATTTGTTGTGGGTGGGTTGTTAGGACACGGTAAGTAAGTAAGGCCAAGTAGGGCTGGTGGAAACGGTGCTATGGAGAATACGAACACCCGCCCTGACACATCCATTCAGCTCCATGCCCAACGCGTCTTAAAGTGACTCAATCGGCTGTAGCTTTTCTGACAGAAGTTTGCAATAGTTCACATGTGGGTGAGTAATAAAAGGATAGCACGTAGAGGACTGATTCCTGGCCTTATAACAACTGTAAAAATGGTTAGGTACCGCAGCGTTACAATAACTTGCACAAATTGCATTTGGGTTAAACAAAGTATTTGGAAAACATACGAACGCCAAAGTTAAAACAGTTACACGTTTCCGGGCTATAACGTTATTTAAACACATTCATTATTATTACACTTGAAACTACAACTGCTCGAACGAAGCCCTTTAAACAGAACCATGTCTTTAGAGGCGGCTAACGTTAGCATCCGAGCTAACACACTCACCCGGCTTCAGAGCGCTCAAACCTGGGTATATTGCAATGACAGGCCGATGAAAAAACGGAAAACTCTTCAATCTAGTCTTTCACGTAATTAGACAGATTATCCACGCGTTTCGACAACATTCCAGACGTTAAAGTGTTGTGTTTTAGACCTGCAAATGCGACGCCACCAGGCTCCTGTTGCCCTCCCCGTGGTAGCTCCAGGCGTGGTGGTCCAGCTTGTCGGGGTCCATGACTCTGGAAGCCTGTGTGAAGGCTGAGGGCCCGCTGGAGGCGTGGGGGGTGAGGGCGGTGTGTGTGAGGAGCTCCCAGCGGGTCAGGAGCGGCTGTGAGCGGGGAGAAGCCCAGGGACACACCGCTGATGGAGCTGAGGAAGTTCTGTGAGAAGGGTGCCAGGTCTGAACTAGAATCACGCATTGTGGGAGGGGCGCCAGGTCAGAAGGGGAGTTACGCACTGTGGGAGGTACGCCAGGTTGGAGGACAAATTACGCACTGTGAGAGGGGCATCAGGGTCTGAGCAGGTGCCCCTGTCACCACAGTGTTTGCTAAATTTCCGATAGCATAGTTTCGCACCATCACAAGAACAGACTTGCTGCTAAGATGGTCGCTAAGGCAAGGTCCGTGTATTTTTTGTTCAATGTTTTTTTTTTAAATGAAAATAAATTTAAAAAAGGCTTGAATTTTCCTTTTTCATATTGATGAGGAAAGGGAAAAACGAAAAATTGGCTTGATATTTGATGTTTCGTTTCGATGCTGAAAATGAAAAAAACTAAGTATATTGGAGGAATGGTCGAGGAGGAATGGTCCATGACGCACGGACTAAGGAAAGGAGAAAAGGTGATTTTACGCACACACATCCAAGCAGGATCCTATGACCTTACATGCAGCTGAACATAAAATGACTAATATGGAGCAAGACTTAGACCGGAAAGACAATTCGACTAAAATTTAGACATACAATGTGACTACTATACGGCAGCACAATATAGGGAAAAAGTTGATATGGATGGACATTTGTCTGTAATACATATTAATAGTCTCCCCCCTGGACTGCCACCAAGTGGTGGGGGAGTTTGAGTACTAGGATGATCCTGGGAGCTATGCTGTCTGGGGCTTCATGCCCCTGGTAGGGTCTCCCATCGCAGACAAGTCTCTGGTGACGAGTCAGACGAAGCGCAGTCCGAAGCCAACATGGATCGCACAAAAAGAAATCACGTGACGTCGCCCGGCATGGCACAGCCGGGGCCCCACCCTGGAGCCAGGCCTGGGGTTGGGGCTCGAATGCGAGCGTCTGGTGGCCGGGCCTTAGCCCACGTGGCCCGGCCGGGCCCAGCCCGAACGGACGACGTGGACCAACCCTCCTGTGGACTCACCACCCGCAGAGGGGTCCATGGGGAATCGGTGCAGAGAGGACTGGGCAGCGTCGAAGGCTTAGACCTCGGCGACCCGGTCCACGTGCACAGCATCTGGCTGTTGGGACGTGGAACGTCACCTCACTGGGGGGGAAGGAGCCCGAGCTCGTGGGGGAGGTCGAGAGATACCGACTAGAGATAGTCGGCCTCACCTCCACACACAGTTTGGGCTCTGGAACCCAACTCCTTGAGAGGGCTTGGACGCTCCACTTTTCTGGTGTTTCCCGCGGGGAGAGGTGGCGAGCGGGGGTGGCCATACTCATTGTCCCCCATCTCAGCCGCCACGTGTTGGAGTTCTGCCAGGTGAATGAGAGGGTCGCGTCCCTCCGCCTTCGGATGGGGGACAAATCTCTCACTGTTGTGACGGCCTACGGGCCTAACGGTAGTGCAGAGTACCCGGCCTTCTTGGAGTGCTTGGGAGGTGTACTGGACAGTGCACCGCCCGGGGACTCCGTTATTCTCCTGGGGGACTTTAACGCCCATGTGGGAAACGCCAGTGACACTTGGAGGGGGGTGATTGGGAAGAACGGCCCCCCTGATCTGAACCCGAGCGGTGTTCAGTTGTTGGACTTCTGTGCTAGTCACAGTTTGTCCATCACGAACACCATGTTCAAGCACAAGGGTGTCCACCAGTGCACTTGGCACCAGGACTCCCTAGGCCGGAGGTCGATGATCGACTTTGTTGTCGTAACATCTGACCTTCGACCGCGTGTCTCGGACACTCGGGTGAAGAGAGGGGCGGAGCTTTCAACCGATCACCACCTTGTCGTGAGTTGGATCCGCTGGCAGGGGAAGAAGCCGATCAGACCTGGCAGACCCAAGCGTGTAGTGAGGGTCTGCTGGGAAAGTCTTGCTGAGCCCCCTGTCAGGCGGACTTTCAACTCGCACCTCCGGGAGAGCTTCTCCCAGGTCCCGGCGGAGGAGGGGGATATTGAGTCTGAGTGGACCATGTTCTCTTCCTCTATCACTGATGCTGCAGCTCGTAGCTGTGGTTGCAAGGTCTCTGCTGGTCCCGGCGGCAACCCCCAAACCCGGTGGTGGACACCGGTAGTAAGGGATGCCATCAGGCTGAAGAAGGAGTCCTATTGAGCCATGATGGTTTGTGGGACTCCTGAGGCAGCTGTCCAGTTATGGCAGGCCAAGCGTGCCGCAGCCTGGGCTGTTGCAGAGGCAAAAACACAGGACTAGGAGTTGTTGGACTTCTGTGACTATAGGTCACAGAAGTGACTATAGGTCGGCCTCGAAGATATAGTCATGCTCCATGGACTCTCTGAACTCCTCCTAGTCCTGTGTTTTTGCCTCTGCAACAGCCCAGAGACTTTGCGACCACAGCTACGAGCTGCAGCATTGGTGATAGAGGAAGAGAACATGGTCCACTCAGACTCAATATCCCCCTCCTCCGCCGGGACCTGGGAGAAGCTCTCCCGGAGGTGCGAGTTGAAAGTCCGCCTGACAGGGGGCTCAGCGAGACGTTCCCTCACTACACGCTTGGGTCTGCCAGATCTGTTCCGGATGGAGGGACTATGTCTCTTAGCTGGCCTGGGAACGCCTTGGGGTCCCCCCAGATGAGCTGGAGGAAGTGTGTGTGGATAGGAAAGTCTGGGCGTCTCTGCTTAGACTGCTGCCCCCGCAACCCGGCAACGGACAAAGCGGAAGAAAATGGATGGATGGACATATTAATAGTAGGAGTTTTTGGAAAATTATGACAAAAATTAGGGACCTGCTGCAATTATTCAATAAATTTAGTATCATAGCATAGTGTCTGAATAATGAGAAAATTAGTGGAATGCAAATAGAAGGGTGTGAGCTACACAACAATACACAGAAAAGACAGAAAAAGTGGGGGCGTTGCTATCTACGTTGACTCAACACAGAACTTTAAATGAGTTGAAAATAAATCAGTAGCTGTAGAAAATGTATTTGAATGTGTTACTGTCAAACTTGAATCTAAGCAATCCAAAAATGTACAGTTACCTGCGTGTACAGAACTCCAGGATCCCTCATAGATGTATTTACTGACAGAATGAATCATTTGCTCAATGCTAAGTGGTCTACTACTAAAGACCAAATAATATGTGGAGATTTTAATATAAATCTACTGAATGCACCAACTCATGAAAAAACTTCTGATTTATAAATATGATGTATTGCAATTTCCTCCTACCAATCATAGACAAGCCAAGCAGGATAACAACAGACACCACTACCTTGATTGATAACATTTAAACCAGTAAGATTGAAGGTAAAATAGTCGGTGGCTTGCTGATAAGTGATATAAGTGACCACCTTCCAGTATTTGCTGTCTACCAAAATTATACTTATGAAAGTCAAACTAACAAGCCAGAATACAAACTAGTTCGCCGTCTAACACCAGGAAAACTAAATAATATTAGAGAAGATCTGGACAAAAAAGTGATTAATAATGTTAATAATTAATAAAGAGAAAACATGCCTTTACACATGAAGGAAACTATTTCATTAATGAAAGCTCCAGACTTGAAACTTTAAAAGAAATTGTCATTGGTTTCAACCATTATTTTCTAAAAATCTATTTCCATGTGATCCAGTAAACAGAAATCCAAACACATTCTATCTTAACCCTACAAATGAAATGGAGATAGTGAAGGTGGTAAACAAGTTTAAAACAAAAACAAAAAGACTCCTTGGGAATCAATATCAATCTTATTAAGAACACAATCAAATTTATAGCACCAACCACATACTGTATGTTATCGATCATTCAAAATGGGTATATACCCAGACTCAATGAACATAGCAAGGATCTTTCCAGTACACAAACAAGGTGATAGATACTTATTCTCCAATTATAGACCAATTTAAGTTCTTTCTCAGTTTTCAAAAGACATAGGAAAACAGGTGTGCACATATTAGATACATTTTTAGACAAATATAATCTCTTAAGTGACCATCAATATGGTTTTAAGAAAAACTGCTCCACCTCAATGGCCATTATGGAACTGGTAGAACATATATCAAATCAGAAATACAGTGTTGGTGTCTTCATTGACCTTAAGAAAGCTTTCAGTACTATAGATCACAATATTATATTGCAGAAACTAGAAAAATATGGATTCAGAGGACTTTCACATTCATGGATACAAAGCTACGTACAAAACCGATACCAATTTGTTGAGATAGAAAATAAAAAATCAGAACTGTTAAATATTACCTGTGGCATTTCGCAGGGATCAACGCTTGGGCAAAAACTTTTTTATTATTTACATTAATGACCTAGTCACGGTTTCAAAATCACTGGATTATGTCTTGTTTGCAGATGATACCACTCTTCATTGTGCGGGTGATGACATAAATCAGCTCACACAATTGGTGGAGGTGGAATTGCATAAAATCAAACTTTGGTTTGACATCAACAAATCATCACTAAATATTGGGGAAACAAAATATACAATATTTGCGAAGTGGAATATTTCAAACCAAGCTGAAATTCATCTAAATAACACTCCCCTGGAACGAGTCTATGAGAACAAGTTCCTGGGAGTGACTATAGACCATGAACTCAATTGGAAATCCCACATAAACATTATTAGAAATAAACTGTCCAAAGTATTAGCAATAATATATGAATACAGATATAAATAGTCTACTTATTATATATAACTCATTAGTAATGCCCTATATTACATTTTGTATTGAAATATGGGGCAACACTTATAAAACTAATACTAAATCAATTTTCATATTGCATAAAAAGTCAGTAAGAGCGATTACATTATCAGCCAACAACGAGCCAACAAATGCACTGTTTATAAATCTACAAATATTAAAATTCTATGATTTAGTCGACCTTTACAGTTTGATAATAATGTTCAAGATAAAAAATGACCTGCTTTCCGAACCACTACAGAGGCTGTTCACAATCAGAGACAGTCATTATATGTTGAGAGGAAAAGGCGTTCGTAAAACCAAAATATAGAACTAATGTAATGAAAAGTTGTTTATCTGTGAGAGGGGTTGATCTCATGGATCTATAATAATAACGGTCAACTTAGGTCATGCAACTCACTTTACCACTTAGAAGGATGTTCAAAACTATGATTTTGGACAGCCACATGAACTCAGATTTTTGATGTTGATATAGTTGCTCAATTAAATGTTATTGTTTACATTCACTTATACGCCTTTGTTTCTGCTGTAATTTACTATCCTGACAATGTGGAAATGTTTCAAGTGACCGAAATAAACTTCATTCATTCATAGTATTGAATAATGGTTTCAGGCTGATTTGATTTTGTTTTTTCGATTTGGCGCAACCGGAAGTTGGCTGTGCACCCACATTTTCATCTGGTTGGAAACAGCAGAAAGCAGGCAGGCGGGTCGGTGTACTTTTGCGTTCAATATATTTTCTATTTTTGAAGGGAAATGGAAAATCCAAAAAAGCTATTTTGCAATTTACAATAGTGACCATTTTGGGTTTTTTTCATTGCTTAAAAGACATGTAACCTATATCATAATAACCGGATTTGAGAACTAGAAATGCAATAATTAACCTTTTTTATTATGTATTTAATACATTTCGCCGTCAATCGATTACCCAGAAGAGAAACAAGTCTGTTTGGTTCAGCCCTATTACATCTGACTTGACCAGGAACAGCGCAGGACCAGTCCAGATCATGGATCTATTATAATAACGGTCCAGATCCAATAACTAACTGCGGTAGAAGATGAAGATGGCAACATTTGAATGTTACATTCAATTAACTGGAGTTAAACCCACACTTCAAAAATAAGTGACAGTGTAATAAAATAATGCTATAGAAATAACCTACAGAAACAGAAGTTATGCAGGCCACACATGTACATACGACTGTCATATTGACTGCTGTGGGAGTTCTTGTGTTAATGAATGTGTGAATGTTTAAATAATTTTGTGTAAAATTGCCAACCGCTCTGAGGCTGAGGAGCTCTCTGTATTCTGTTGGTGAAATAGACTTACTGTTTTCACTGAGCCCAACTTTAAGTGGCTACAAATAAGCGGATTTGGCAAACTACTGCTTCGACAAGTTTGGGAGACAACACCACCACGCGGGAGCAGGTGGAATGACACCCGAGTGCTACATCCGAATTCATAAGCAACACCTCCTTCCTTGTGCTTCTTTCTTCTTTAATTACATAGTAGCAAAATGCAGCAGCTCGAGTCCTGACTAGGACCAATTGTGATCACATTAGCCCAGTCCTCAGGTCTCTGCACTGGCTTCCTGTGGCTCAGAGAATAGACTTTAAAACAGCTCTGCTTGAGTACAAGTCTCTCCATGGCCTCGCACCAAAATAAATTAGTGACATGTTAGTCCCATATGAACCAGCTCAGCTTTTTATTGTTCTGTGATTATTTTTGACTTTTCTTGGCTTTACAAAAACATATTTAAATGTTTTAAATCCCACTTGAACAAGCTTGGAGCTTCTTTGTCAGTTTAAAATGAAATATTTTAATGTAAAGGACGGATGTGGAACAAAAAGGGAAGAAGGGTTGTGATTCCGCACGCAGTCAAAATCTTCACAAACGGAAGCAGTATCGTCGCCTGTCTATGCTAATGCTAATGCTAACACGAACCACAAACCCGCACCGAACCTGGACCTTCACCCGATTAAACGCGTCTTTCTGGGGGCAGCTGGACTCACGCTGCCGCCACCATGAACCTGGAACTACTCGGTGAGTCCAGGTTTGGGATTTGGGGCGTTTATGCTTTGGTTTGGGTCGTTTATCCGGAGGTGAATGTGGATGTTGTGGTAGCATCCTGGTTGGCCGCAGACTCCTGTTGCTAACAACACAAAACGACATTTGCAGTATAACCTTGTTAAACTGATTACAGTCACAGTGATTGAAGACGAAAATGACATTAACATTAGTGACAGATGTTCCCAGATTTAAACATACTTGTGGGATTTAAACATAACATTATTATGATTTGGCTCACGCAGATGAATGAACCGCGGCTGTAACTACACTCGGATGAAAACTGTTCATATCTGTTTATTTTATCTACCTTAACACATGTGCTTAGTGTTTTGATGTATGTATATTATGTATATAGATTAGTACTTGTACAGTGCCATTCTAATGTAGGATGTTTTAACGTCAGTTTTGGAAGTGTTTACTGTTTACATTTACATTATTGATCTTCATAACTTGTTTTTTTTACTTTCATGTTATTATTCGTATGAATACATCTTAATTTCGAAATGTGAAGAGATCTACATTTAACACTAAGGCAGACATTTTGACTACTCCATAAAATTGAGTGTAACATTTTGAATGTTTCTCTGTAGCCATTTTAAGTCTCTTGGCAGCCAGCCTTCTATGGCAGTGAGTGAAATCCCCTTTTCTCCAAAGTGGTCCTGGTCCTGGTTCTGAGCATTTAGCCTTTTTTCTGTATTTCAGTTATATTCACCAGTTTTAGCATTTATTGTAAGTGAGTAGAGGTTAACAACATTATGAATTATTTATTTTTAATAAAATTAGTGGAAAACTAACTTTTTAAATGACTGCTCACGGAGTTGTAATGTAATGCAAATGTATAATCTGTTTTGAAAGCTCGCTTGTTTGTGGGCTATTGTGAAGCATTTTGGGTTGCCATGTGCAGGAACTTTGCTATGTAAATACATTTCTTCTCTGTTGTTGAATGTGTTAAACTATTGAAATGAAAACCCTAAGGAACGCGTGCACGTCTTCTCTCTGTCACTCATGAACATGAACTCTATTTAGAACCTTTCTATATGAATTATAGGCATCTTGCTGAAATGTTCTGTTTTTCCTCCTGCAGAATCCTTCGGTCAGAACTATCCAGAGGTGAGTGTTAAAAAATCCATGGTTTAAGCACATCTGTGTGGAATGTGTGTGCTCCATTCATAATTAGAAAAGCATTCAAGCACAGTAGCCCACCAAGAGGCGCAGTTGCATTACTTAAAATGCCACCGTTCATTTTCCTTTTTTCAAAGTTTCCTGAAGATTTCGTGTCAGTTGTACTCTGATAGGAGCTTCTCTGTCTTCTCTTCCTAAATCTATTTTTAGGAAGCTCAGGGTCATGTGATGTCACATGACCCTGAGCTTCTGTCAGGGACATGACTTTACCAATGTATACACATGTCAATGTCACGTCATTGAGGACGTGTAGATAGACTCCAACTGCTGCCTCGGAGAGACTCCCATGATGCTTGTGACGACAGCAGCAGAGATGACATAAAACAGATTTTAACAACATACAATTTATGATCATAAAGAAGCAGTCTGTTTTAGCACGGTCTGATGAGGGTAATGTTCAGTACTGTTTTATGAAGACATTATTACAGTAACCCATTCCCCACAGGAAGCAGATGGCTCCCTGGACTGCATCAGTATGGCCCTCACCTGCACCTTTAACCGCTGGGGCACCCTGCTGGCCGTGGGCTGTAACGATGGCCGCATTGTCATCTGGGACTTTCTGACCCGTGGCATCGCCAAGATCATCAGCGCACACATACACCCAGTGTGCTCGCTGTGGTGCGTAACCACGGCACACATAACACACTCTGTAAACCCCGACAACAGGCATCCCATAGAGACACATAAACTAACGTATTAAAAAATGACGTGTTCAAAATCCCTTATAAAGATGACCATGATTCAGAAAGTTAAATTCAAAAAGGTTTATTTCCCTAATACAAAAAGAATCTAAAACAGCTGTTCGGACCAAAAGTAACTATCCCTTATTCTCTATATAAAATATAAAAGTATGACTTTGGTGGGCGCTCCACGCAAATCACACACTGCCCCTGGTCCAGAAAAAAACTAACTAAAACACATTCAAGCTATTCATTAAGTAATGTGCAAGAAGAAGGGGGCGTGTCGTATCAGTCAGCTCTCGGTCCCGAGTCCGGCCTCCATCAGGTTTCCTCGTCTCTTCCAGACCTAAACACAATGGTGTAGGTTTGGTTCCAATCTTGGTGGGGACATTCACTACGACCTGAGTCTACACCCATTGACACGGGGTCCAGAGTTTCTCCCCCAGAATTTGTTGTGTAATCACACACTATATTTGCAATAGTGTGTTGCCTTCTATACTAAACTCAGCTGTAGACTGAATGAGAAGCAGTTATGTATGTTAACAGAAGATTAATCATCACAATTCATAATTTGCTATTACTTGTGCTTTCTCTTACTTACTTTCCAACTGTTAAAAAATCTCCTGATATCTTTTATCTTATTTGTGGAGGTGGCATTTTTTCTAAATTATACAAGAAGGTATAGACAATCAAAAACAGACATTCATATACATGAACTGCAGAATCATTTATATAACTTGGCCAATGTCAAAAGTTACATAGTATTTCTCAATACAATGAGTTAACAAGAGTTTGGCAATAAGTAACAGTGTGGATTTTTCTATATTTTCTTTTTTTTATTCCACTCTCAACCCAAAAAGGCAAGTAATGACTCACAGGGCTCTCAAGTATGCAAAATAAAAACTTAAATGACCTGTTGTGGTGTGTTTTGCGCACAACCAGCATGCATCGTTAACGCAATGGAAAATTTAGGTATCCGAGCTTTAATTTCGGGAGCGCTGGTTGCGCTTTGGGAAGAGTCAGGGGAGAGACATGTCAGAGACACAGGGGAGAAACGGGGAAGATACGAGGGAGACCCGCACTTGCAACATGGTTCTGTCTGCATATGGTCCGAGCTCGGTACCATGTTAGAGCTGTGCTTTCACTGAGCGCCGCGGCTGTCATTACAAAGCGGCAGCAGCTGCACCAGGACGTGCACATTCGAGTGCATCGCTTGAATGCGCTTAGAGCAAATAACAGCAAGTGCCCGCTGTCACACATTTCACAGAAATTACACTATCAGCAGATAAAGGTTGTAAATCGTGGATCCGTGGAATATTTTCATCCCTAGTTTATCCTGATTCACACAACACACCCACTTATACATTTTGGATAGTAAGAGCACAATAAGTATTTTTTCAGCCTTTCAACCAACCTGTTTCTTTATTGGAGCCAGTTCTGTTCTGTCTCTGTGTGCGGTGTGAGCTCCTCGGAACATTAAACAGTGCGCTGACAGATTAGAAATAACGTAAGTACTTTGAATGGTGATAGATCTACAGTACTTTCCTCTGATTACTCACGTGCTACAACGCTCAGGGAACGAAAAAAAACACTTGCTTCACGCTGGCTAACTTTTAAAAATTAAACAGTCGCTCAGTGCTTCAGTTTGGCGCTGAAGAAGACAGCCAATCACTGCAGAGAACGGAACGGGTCACGTGCTGCTGCTGCTGCTGTTGCTCTGGAGGCGAGGAGGAGGCGCGACGTGTGCACAAACCGAAGACATGTGTCCCGGACCGTCCGGGTCCCGGGACATCATGTCATTTTGGTGGGGACTTTTTAGTCCTCACCAAATATTGGTGGGGACATGTCCCCATGGTCCCCACGCAAACCTACGCCCTTGCCTAAACAGAATCATTTACACACTCCCCCTCCCCAACCTATAGATTTATTAGTTCCTTTGAGATAAGGCAGAAGGCTCTCAAGGCTTCTCCTCCAGATTCTGGGCTCCATCTCCTTCTTTCACAACTTGAAAGGATTAGCAGAATCCCCCCAGATTAACTATCATTAACTCACCCATGCACTTTGGACAAAATGGGACCAGGGGAGTGGGGCAATACAAGGTCTTTCTTTTTGCTTGGAAACAGACAGAGTTCAATTTCAGGTCAATCTAATTCACATCGCCTTTTAGTCTATATTTAATACAACAAAACCCAGTCAATGTATGGTAATGGGAGCTTCTGTATGCGACCTGACCACCTCTAAGGGTAGTACACCTCCTTGTGTAGGCGTACAAGGATTCACATAGCCTCACGCTGGCTCACTTACGCTCACAAAGGCTCCAGCAAGCTCACGCAGGCACATGTAGGCTTATGCTCACGTAGACTGACGGAGGTTCACGCAGGTCCATTTAGGCCCTTGTTTACGCTCAGGTAGGCCCACGCTGGCTCAAGTAGGCCCACGCAGGCTCGCGTCAGGACCCATCTCCAGTGTTGCTCATTCCGATTGTCTCTTACTCCATTAAACATGTTTGTTACAGTTGGAGCAGAGATGGACATAAGTTGGTGAGTGCGTCCACAGATAACATTGTGTCTCAGTGGGACGTTCTGACAGGAGACTGTGACCAGAGGTTCAGGTTTCCCTCCCCCATCCTCAAGCTGCAGTGCCACCCACGGGATATGTGAGTATACTGAGGGTACTGCAGAGTTTACCGCTGAGTATACTGTTGAGTATTCTCTCCTTCAGGGCCGCAGAAAACATTCATATTTTTAAGGGCAGGCTCAAGACACACCTTTAATAGATTAGCTTTTGATTAGTATTTATTATTCCATTTTATAAATTCTATTTATCTTTTATTATTTATTTTATTATTATTATATTAATCGTGCATTGTGCGATAGTTCCTTTTAGTCTCACATTTGTGTGTGTGTGTGTGTGCGTGTGTGTGTGCGCGTGAAGGCATGAGTTCGTCTGTGTTTGTTTGTCTGCGCATGTGGTTTGGGGTGGGTCTGTTGGGTGGTCGGGGGGAGGGGTCATGGGCCTGCGGGATTGTTTTTAACCAAACTGTAAAGCACTTTGTGTTGCATCTTTTGTATGAAAAGCGCTTTATAAATAAATTTTGATTGATTCTCTTCTCTTCTTCCTCTTCTTCCTCTCCTTCCACATCTTCTTCCTCCTCTGACCTTCTGTTTCTTGTAGGGACAAAGTCCTGGTTTGTCCGATGAAGTCTGCTCCTGTTCTGCTGACGCTGTCTGACTCCAAACATGTGGTTCTGCCAGTGGACGACGACTCGGATCTGAATGTGGTGGCGGCGTTTGACCGGAGAGGGGAGTACATCTACACTGGAAATGCCAAGGGAAAGGTACGTTTACACCAGGAACGCCTGGGCCTCTGGTTGGAGGCAGCTGCAACTGCCCCTAATGCACACACAGCTAAGGCCCCATTTAGACGGAGGCGCTGTGCAGATTTTGCCAAGCTATTAACTGAAACGACCAGGCTCCTTATGCAAATTTCACAGAGTTCATACAAGGATGAAAAACGATGTAGTTCTAGCGCCCGGCCAGTAGTGGGCAGAGGAACTTTACAACACGACACACGCAACCCCCAGACCCCCCAGCAGTGTACTCACTTCCTCAACAACATCCTCCTCAAAGATGTGAAAGAATATACCAACATAATTCTACATGGAAACTGAAACTAGAGCTTTGCATGGTCTTGTTTGGACGCACAAAGCAGTAGATTTCTCCTCCATGTAGCGCTCAAAGCACATGTAGCTAGTTAGCGTACCCGCCGCCATTGTTGTTAATGTTTGTTCTCGGTTACTGCGCATGTCCAAATGTACGTGCGGGGAGGTGGGGGTCATAGCAGGCAGAGAATTCACACCTCTGTCTTCACAACAGGTGTGAAAGCACCCCCGCTGAGCAGCGTATCTGAACTATCCCACTCTGTATGCTGGATCTTAACGCTTACGTTTTCAGCCTCCTGAAACAGTCTCCATGTGAACGGGAGGTAGCAACTGACGTCTAACTATAGCGTTTTACTGCCGCAGCGTCTCCGTTAGGGGTGGGAACCATAGACTGTATATATTAACGGACAGAGTCACGCCTATCTCCGCCGTTAAAGGGCCAAAAAATGTGCTCTACTTGAGCTATCCAAAATGGCCGCGAGTGGTCCCGCCCACAAGAAAATTGTGAAAAAACGCATCTGCGCATGCGTCAGCCGGCGCAGCTCCATTCATTTGAACAAGAGACTTAAAAAATTCACAGCAACTAAACTAGAGTGGACCAAAAAAATCCACCCCCCTCAGCATTGACACACATTGAGCTTTGGGCCAAGAGCCAACTTTTGGACCATCCTGTAAAGACGTTTTTGAGAGCTCTGCCAATGCTATATGTTAGCATTGGCTAATTCTTCTTCTGGGTCCACCCCCATCGGCCCGGGGTGGTATTGCAAGCATGTCAGCGCACGTCATTTTGGCCACTTTTGAGCTGGGACCCTCCCCCACTGGTGGGAACCTAAGGGTACCTCACGATACGATACGGTACACGATACAAAGCTCACGATAACGATTTTATCACGATATGAGGATTATCGATATATTGGTCAGAAATGTACAATATGTGAGATTTCATAACACTTTTAAGCAACTTTTGTTAAAGTTAAACTCATCATTCTATCAATGTGCAGAAGCCTGTACTTTTCCCTTGTTTTGACTTCTGAAGGCCAAGCTACATGGCACTGTGGCAGCTGCTGATTGGAGGTCTCCATGCCTCCGCTCTGTATAATACACTTGCATTCTGTTGTTCGTGCTGTCTCTACCATTGACAATAAAACATGTCTTCTGTCTGAATGAAAGACGCAAAAAAAAAAAAAAACACTTTTTGTGTAAAAAAAAAGTAGTCTTCTGTTCTGTAGATGTTACAGACAATGGGCCTCATTCACGAACGGTTCTTAGGAACAGATTTATACGTAAATCCTACTTACGCGGTTTTTACGAAGAAAGTGGCATTCACGAATTTTTCTCGTAACCAGAATTTCTCTTGGGCAAGTACAAATCCTACGAGTCCTCAGGAGCACTCGTACGCATTCAGTGCCGACATGTTCACACGCCGGGGTTGTCCTCTTTGGTGAAGTTGAATAAAAATACAACATTCCAGTGATATTTCCGTCATATCAATGTATGTATTTATTTATTTGTAGTAATCTTTATTAGTAATCTTTATTTATATACCGCCTTTTTCACTGCAGATCTGGCCTACTTTTTAATTCATTTTGAAATGAAATGTGCCAACGCTTTATCAAATACATTGGAAATCTTGCCGTGTATTAGTGACCCCTTCCTATTTATAGGGGGCATTTCTTTATCCACGGGCCACAGAACAACGGCATATATACTGCTGCTGCAGGAGGTTACTGGGTCCGCGCTGAGTCTCTGCGCTGGTCTCTCCTATGGATCTATACGGGTCTGCACTGGTCTCTCCCATGGATCTATACGGGTCTGCACTGGTCTCTCCCATGGATCTATACGGGTCTGCACTGGTCTCTCCCATGGATCTATACGGGTCTGCACTGGTCTCTCCCATGGATCTATACGGGTCTGCACTGGTCTCTCCCATGGATTTATACGGGTCTGCACTGGTCTCTCCCATGGATCTATACGGGTCTGCACTGGTCTCTCCCATGGATCTAGACGGGTCTGCACTGGTCTCTCCCATGGATCTAGACGGGTCTGCACTGGTCTCTCCCATGGATCTAGACGGGTCTGCACTGGTCTCTCCCATGGATCTAGACGGGTCTGCACTGGTCTCTCCATACGGGTCCGTGCTGCATGCTCCTGGATCCATACGGGTCCGCGCTGGTCTCTCAAGTCTGGTCTATGCGGTCTCTCTTCGGTCCGCGCTGGTCTCTGCGCACCGGTCGCTCCAGTCAGGTCACTACAGTCTATGCGGTCTCTCCTATAGGTCCGCGCTGGTTTCTGTGTGCTGGTCACTCCAGTCTCTCCTCGGGTCTGCATTGGTCTCAGCGCTGGTCCGCGCTGGATCTCCTCCCAGGGTCCAAAATATTTTGAGATTAATCTCAAAACATTTAGAGATTCATCTTTAAAATAATACATAATATATTTTTAAATTAAGCTCATAACATTTTGAGATTAATCTCATCATATTCTTAGATTAATCTCATAATTTTGCTAATTCGACTTTATTCTCATAATATTTCGACTTTTAAATCAACATTTTATAAATTTATTCTCAGTCTGGCAAAAGAAGAAAAAAGGGTGACTCTTTTGCTCCGTGTAACTCTTTGCTTTAGGCCTGTTGCTGTTTCCTCTGCTGTCTGCACACGGCCCTGCAGTCCCTTATATGGGCATTAATGGGCGGTTACTTATGCTAAGTACCTATGCTAATGAAGCACCTGGCACGCGCGCTCTACTTACGAGGAAATGGGATTCATCAATCTGAGAGAACAGCTGCGAACAATTCAGCGGCTTACGAGTGCGTTGATGAATCCCACGTAGGGACTTCTTAGAAATCTACTTAAGGACAACTTGAGAAGAAATTTGAGAAGTTTCTTACGAAGTTATTCGTGAATGAGGCCCAATGCGCACATCCTCCACCACCTAAAGAAGATGACATAGTCTGGGATCGTGTCTTAAATTCAGACAGAAGACATGTCTTATTGTCAATGGTAGAGACAGCACGAACAACACGAACAACAGAATGCAAGTGTATTATACAGAGCGGAGGCATGGAGACCTCCAATCAGCAGCTGCCACAGTGCCATGTAGCTTGGCCTTCAGAAGTCAAAACAAGGGAAAAGTACAGGCTTCTGCACATTGATAGAATTATGAGTTTAACTTTAACAAAAGTTGCTTAAAAGTGTTATGAAATCTCACAAATATGCCAATTTATGGCATGAATAAAAGAAAAAATACACTTTATTTCATGATAAATGGAATGGAGATTCATAATGTAGCCATATATTACGTATTGATACAAATTTAAAAAAAATAATGTGTAAAAAAAAAAAAAATGATATTGATACTTGGAAAATGTATATCGATAATCGAATCGCGGGAGAAAGTATCGCGATATATCAAAAAATGTATATATCGTCACACCCCTAGTCTCCATCTCCGTCTAAACGGGGCCTAAGTGTTATCTCTAAATGATAGAAATGATGAAAGTGTTGTTTCAGATTCTGGTTTTGAAAACTGACTCTCAGGAGCTGGTAGCCTCCTTCAGAGTCACCACAGGAACCAGCAACACCACAGCCATCAAGTCCATCGAGTTCGCCCGAAAGGGGAGGTCTGTACTACTACTCCTACTCCACCACCACCGGTTATCCTTTTATAGTTGTCTAGATGTCTTGATGTCTTCTGTTGCAGCTGTTTCCTGATAAATACAGCCGACAGAATCATCAGAGTTTACGACGGCAGAGAGATCCTGACATGTGGACGAGACGGAGAACCTGAACCCATGCAGAAGCTCCAGGACCTGGTGAATCGGTGAGACTCCCAAGCAAGTGTGAAATCTGTTCTGACGGACGTGGCTCAGAGCTGGTGCGGATGCCTTAAACTGGACACAACATCCAGAATGTTCTTCTTCTTTGTGCCTTTGTCCATGTTCTCAGCTGGCCTGGTCTCTCTCTGGTCCAGAACTTGGTCTCTCCCTCTTGATGATTGAATGTTTTGTTTCCAGGACTCCATGGAAACGCTGCTGCTTTTCTGGAGATGGGGAGTACATTGTGGCTGGATCGGCCCGACAGCATGCACTATACATCTGGGAAAAGAGCATCGGGAACCTGGTGAAGATCCTCCATGGCACCAGAGGGGAGCTGCTGCTGGACGTGGCTGTAAGAAAAACACAATCACTGGGACTGGGGAGAGCCTGGACTTGGGACAGGCCTGGGGTGACCCTGTAGGTCACATGTTGTCCTCTCTCTCTGCAGTGGCATCCAGTGCGTCCGATCATTGCCTCCATCTCCAGCGGAGTTGTGTCCATCTGGGCCCAGAACCAAGTGGTCAGTGACGGTGTTTCAGCATACTTTGTGATGTCACGTGTTTGTCTCTGATGTCACCTATTTGTATGTGATGTCACATGTTTCTCTGTGATGTCACACAGGAGAACTGGAGTGCGTTTGCTCCAGACTTCAAAGAGCTTGATGAGAATGTGGAATATGAAGAAAGAGAGTCTGAATTCGACATTGAGGACGAGGACAAGAGCGAAGCAGAGCAGACCGGTACACACCCCCAAACATGTTAGAGACAGACTGGAAAGAGGGACGGACCGGAGGGACAGACTGGAGAGCCAGGAGGGAGCCAGGAAGGAGACCGGAGGGAGGCTGGAGAGAGGGAAGGGAGGCCGGAGACTGGAAGGAGACCGAAAGGGAGGGAGGAAGACCGGAAGGAGGCCGAAAGGGAGGGAGGAAGACCGGAAAGGGAAAAACTTGACAGTGGTGGTGTGTTTCAGGAGGAGATGCTGCGGAGGACGAGGAGGTAGATGTGACCTCAGTCGACCCCATTGTGGCATTCTGCAGCAGGTCAGAGCTGTGTCTGTGTGTGAGAGAGTCTGTGTGGGTGACTGTGTGTTATAATGTGAATTTTATGTGTTTAGTGATGAGGAGCTGGAGGACTCCCGCGCCCTCCTGTACCTCCCCATCGCTCCGGAGGTGGAGGACCCTGAGGAGAACCCATACGGTCCTCCTCCTGACGCTCAGACACAAGGAGGAGCCGAAGAGCTGAGCGGCGACAAGAAACAGAAGCAGAGCACCGAACCTCCCCCCAAGAAGAAGGCCCGCACTACCACCATCGAGCTGCAGGGGGTGCCCAGCGACGGTGAGAGACCCAGAGAGAGCGAGAGAGACAGGAGACTCAGAGAGAGAGAGAGACAGACCAGGGACCCAGAAAGTATTTTTTGAAAAACTATAACTTTTTTCTCTCTCGGAACTGTGCCTCTTCTGGTTTGTGTCTGTAAAGCCTTTATAACTCTGTGTCTCTGTTTCTATCTGTCTGTTTTACTGTGTGTCTGTTTGTATCTGTGTGTGTTGCAGAAGTGCACCCCCTGCTAGGAGTGAAAGGTGACGGTAAATCAAGGAAGAAGACGGCTGGTCGCCCCAAAGGCTCCAAAGGTAAAGACAGAGAGTTTGTTCGCTCCAAGGCCTTCAGAGACAGGGCGCACTTCTGTGGGCAGCCTCTTGAGGGCACTGCGGCAACTCACGTCAGCGCGGGGCTCAAGGGCACAAGGGCAGAGGGTAAGAATGAATAAACGACGCTGAGTGACTGTCTGCTGCTGGAGGAGGAGAGAGCTTTATAATGCTGCTGCTCAAAAGGAGAGGATGGAAAATGAGGAGTAGGGAAAGGAGGAGAAGGCTTTATAATACTGCTGCTAACTAGAAGGAGAGGAAAAGAGGAGAAAAGGCTGATTTGCAAAACAGCCAGTCTGTACTAGTGACATGAGAACAAAAGTCCTCTGCTCCTGCTTGTCTCCTGGTCCTGCTTCTCCTTCTCCTGCTCCTCCTCTGGTCCGTGTTCCAGTCCTGCTCCTGGTCCTGGTCTTGCCCTGGTCACCTGCTGTTGCTGCTTAGGCCTCAGTCTGGACTCGAGATCTGTGCTTAAAGAAACTATTTAGTCCCTTGGCTCGAGTCAGGCCCGTATCTGGTCTGGGTCTGGCACAGGTCCAGCCCAGGTCCAGCATGGGGTCTGGCCTGAGTCTGCTCCAGATTCTGGTCCAGATTCCAGCCAGAGTCAGGCCCAAATCCTTTCAGAGTCCTGTCAGAGTCCTGTGCCTCTGCCCTGTGCCCGCCCTGCTCTGCCCAGCTGTCCTTTTATGGTTGTGCCCCTCCCTCCTGTGGTCTGTCTGCACACTGCATTTTCCTGCTTCACTTTTTATATTTTTGGTGAGTTTTGGATGTTTGTCTGCCGTGTTATTCATTGTAAATGATAAATTATAATACTTACAGATAATATTTGGGCTGATTTCGGTAATGGGAGCTCACCAGTTTTTCAATGCCAATTATTTGTTCTTAAAAACACTCATTTGTTATTTTAACTATTATAATTGTACATGTGTTGGTACCATAGACTGTATGTTGGTACAACCTCTCTGGTCTCTCACTGGGGGGGCCAGGGAAGGCCTCTCCATGGTCCCTAACGTGTGCCCTGGTGTTTCCGCAGGTCTCTCACAGTCGTTCAAGATGCATGATCTCGGGACGCAGGACTGACCTCTGCTGGAGAGTGGTGTAACATAAGGACAAGTGTACAGAGTGTGTCTGTGATTTTTAATAAACTTTTCTGTTTCTACATAAACTGCCTCACTTTCTTCTGACCGAACATATTTAAAGCTGGGGCTAGTAACTTTCTTCTCATAAACAATACATGTTTTAACGAGTGAACTGGGAAGTTGGGAGTCATTGTGAAGGTGTGGCTCTGTAGTTTGGGCCCCTGATGGGTTTAATTTTGACACGTCATACATGTGTTTATGACGTTTTTCTTCTGTGAAATTCGGAAATTGCTAAATGAAACCCGTGTTTTATATTCCATCTTAAAGTCAATGTGAAAAAAAAAAAAAATGGCACTGATCTGCACTTTTTAACTTTTTCCATCTCATATCATCGGGACGTCCTGTACATACACACAGTACACACGCGCCCACAATCACACACGCACATACTGCACATTGAGCTTTGACCACAGAATCACTGAAAATATTATAGTGACCGGTTCTGACCTTTCACAATAACGTTCATTTTCCCCTTTTCTCTTCTATATTTAAAGCTGGGTTACGTCACTTTCAGACCACACCAGAACTGCAATAAAATCACTGGTTCCTGGCACTAAAATCGTTTTGTATGTATTATTGGCCTCTCACATCACCATTGACTAGACGTCACAGGAGATGACCTCCCTCACTCAGTCAATCTGCTCAAAGTGACTCACAGGCCTCATTCTTACATGCATCCCATTGCCTCCAGCCCTGCTCCTGCCCTCAGCACGGTGATCACACGATCAGCCCACGACACAGATCTGTGGTTACACTTTGCAACTGTGGATGGTGCTTTAATTGTGAAGGGACACGCGGCGGAAACAACTCTTCGTGCTCAGCGGATACTTGATGCGCGCGGAGTCGCCACGTCGGCAGCGTGGACCCCCATGAGCGTCTGTGCGCGTGTGTGTGTGCACAAGCCTCCAAGAGCGCGGAGTTCTGCAGAGAAGAACCAGAGCGGAGCCATGGTGAAGGTGAGGACCGGGACTGAAGCAGGACTAAAGCAATACGTGTTCTGTCTGTCGCTGTTTATTGTGACTTCTCCACCAATATAATTTTTTTTTTCTGGATTATGTTTCAAAGCTGCCCTGTGTAACTTTTCTGACGGGGTCCTGCCCCCTCTTGTTACCATGGGGATGTTAGTTTATTTTATGTTTTCCTCTTAAAATAATAAGCTCTCCTCTGCACAGACCTTAGCTGTAACAGTCCAGATAGAAGTGTAAAAGTAACTGTGGAACCTTCAGACCAAACAATAGAACGACTGGACCTTTTAACTCATCTTATGGCCATCACTTTCATTAAGTCTAAATTACATGTGGTGTACATGTAATTTAGACTTAATGAAAGTGGTTTTTGGGCCTCTGCTCACATGTGTCTCAAGGGAAGAGGCTCTAACACAACAGAACACATACATCACACCAGTTACAGTACTCTGCATAATGACAGCTTCACAAGCTGTGGAGCAGTGCTTGGTTGAGTGAAGCTTTCACCCTCAGAGTTTGGGCCGTTGCACATTTTGAAAATATGTCTGTGTCTGTATGTAAGAGAAACTCTCTGGTCTCTTTCTTGTCTCTCTTTCTGGTCTCCCTCTCTGGTTTATTTCCTTGGTCTTTCGTTCTGATCCTGTGAAAAGTCGATACACGTCTAACCAATACGAGAATCTGTCACTGGTTTCAGATACTTATTTAATTCGACTAAAATTCAAAACTGTTTCAGGATGTCAACAGTTTTGTGTCGGAGCCTCAGCCGTCCACCGTGTGCGGAGAGGAGGGGGAGGAAAGAAGAGAGAGGGGGGAGAGCCTTGGTAAGAGACACACACACACAAGGAAGGGACACACGCACCTCCTGAGACATGTTTGTTTTCCTCAGTTTGAATTCTCTGAGGCCTTTCTTTGTAACCTTTAAAGCACACTGTGGTTTTATCTCCATGTTACTGCCTCTAAAGGATGAATTAATTTTATTATTAAACAGTACTTCCGCATTGGCGAACACGTTAGCAGCACTTGTTTACAATCACAAGAGCATGAGAACACCTGGTTTAGTCCTGGTTTAGTCCTAGTTTAGCCTCTGTTTTGGCTGTTCACAAGAATCTTCAGTCTGCTCGCTAGACCGCTAGTGACCCCGTGACCACTTTGCGGCTCTCTGATTGGTTGCTGCACATGCGACCGGCGGAAAAAGTTCAGCAATGTTCATCTCCTGCGTGCGTCGAGTTTCCGCTCCTGCGCCTCTGCCGCGCCTCAGTTTGGAGTTGCATCCAAAGAACACCATGTGATGAAGCAAACAGACTCTCACTCTCTAGTGTCTCTCACTGGTCTCTTTCCGGTCTCTATCTGCTCTCTCACATTCCGGTGTGTTCTAAATGACTTTGTATGCGAGTTCTGCTGACGATGAATCTTCAGTTATATTAGAAACATGTTTGAGGCGCGGCTTCACACATTCTGAAAAACTCTCTCTTTTTTCTCCATGTTTCAACACTGTTCTTCTCAGCCAACGCTGGCCTTCTGTCAAAACGGGCTGTTTTCAAACTTGCTACACTATGACATAATGGTCTCTCTTGTCTCGCTCTCAGGTCTTCCAGAGAGAAATACCATTCTCGTCTTCCTCTCTTGTTTTTCTCAATTGTCTCTCTCTCTGTAGTCTTTCTGCTCATTCTGGTCGCCTCATACTCTTATCTTCTCTCCTCAGATGCTCCTAAGGACCACCAGGCCCCTCCCCCTGGGATGCTGTGGCGTGTGAGTGGAGGACTCTTCAGTGCCACCAAGAGCGTGATCGGAGCAGCTGCAGGGGGCGTGGCCTGGGTCGGGGGGCGGAGCCTGGAGATCACCAAAGCCACAGTCTCCACTGTGCCAGCCATGGGGGCAGGGCTCGTCAAAGGGGGCGTGTCAGCTGTGGCGGGGGGTGTGGCTTCAGTCGGATCCACAGTGGCATCGAAAGTCACGAGAAAACGGAAGGACAAGGCTGAGTGAAGGACGGAAGACCGGTCTTGGTTTGGATCTGGACTGGACCGGGACTGAAGGACTGAGGACTGGGTCTAGATTTTGGCCTGGGTCTAGACTTGGCCGGGAATGTATCGAGTGAAAGACCAGTTCTGGGTCTGGATCAAAAAGTATGAAATGGCTGACTGCTGCATGACATTACAGATGACTAGTTTTGTAAAATGTCAGTGCATTTTTTGATTTTTCCATATTTTTGTGGAGACCGTGACCGAGAGACTTACTGATGCCTACATATTTTTAAAGTTAAGTTTGTCCCCAATACAAATAGCAGCTGTGAACAGAGCTAGCATGTTAGCATTAGCACCAGTACTTCTTCACAGATCACATGGTTGTGGTGAAAGATTTCTACTCGTTTAAGAAGATGTGTCAGTGTTTTTAGCGTTTGTGTTTCAATGCTAATGCTAACTAGCACAATAAATGTGGACACCTCAAACATCAGTCATTTTCTTTTGAAACTGTTGCGACTATCGTCTTCACTCTGGAGGAGGGCTCAAACGTAATTTTCGTTCCTTCATGTTTTTGGACTGATGCTAATGGAGCAGCTAGCTGTGGGCCACAGTTGGCGAACGTGTCCACTTCTATGCAGAGAAAATTGTCCTCTGACCAGACCTGGATCGGGTTCTGGACCGGGTCTGGATCAGGTCTGGACTTTTCAATATAAAAAAACATATGTAAAGTTTTTATTTGTATGTTTTGTGGTGGATCCATTATGAAGAAAAAAATGGCTGACTTTTATAACAAATACAAAGATGGCTGTCTATGGAAGAGCCCCACGTGTGTTGAATATTACAGTCTATGGTTGAATCTATGCAAACGACGACTGAGAATGATGTCATTTTTGTGAATGCTTGTGTCAATAAAGTTTGTCAAAAAATTGTATCAGTGTTATATGTAAAAAAAAACGTTTGTGTGGATGTGTTATATTATCCGTTTAGTCAAGGCTGAATACGTTCTACTTATTGATATTTGTGTAAAATTGGGTGGTAGACGTCTGCGTCCAAGTGCAAGAACAAAACTGAAACTCTAAAATCTGAAAAAGTTTTAATTTGACGAGTTTGGAATACCCGGATGTGACGCACCCGGAAGCGACGGTACTGTTTTGCACATGTTTTGGTTTCACGCAGATTTCTGGAGATTATTCAGAAAATTTCTGTGAGTTTCTGGGATCAGAGCAGGACTCGCACGTAGAGTGAGACCAGAGACCAGATAGAAGCCAGAGAGGGACCAGAGATGGGGAGATCAGAGAGCAGTGTGTGTAAATATTATAGTGTCAAAGGAAACGGACCATTTAAATCCTAAAGAAATAAGGAAAATACTTCTACCTCCTCCTCTGTTACAGATGCTGAGCGAGTCCCAGTTCCAGGAGCTTCTCTCGTTCCTCAGACCTGAGTCCAGAACTGATGTCAAAGCTGGAGCCACAGAGTGTCTGCTGGGACTTACAGCCAACAGGTACCAGAGACCAGAAAGACCGGGGGCCGGAGAAATCGGGGCCCGGAGAGACCTGCCGCTGGTCTCTCCGGGGAGACCAGAGGGTTCAGAGAGAGACCAGAGAGAGACCAGAGAGACAGTAGTACAACAAGTTGTTCCTCTGTTATCATTCAAAGTCCTTGTGTGTAGTGTGTGTATAGTATTACTATTGTGTGTGTGTTTCAGGGAGGGCTGTCTCCTCGTCGGCTCCAGACCGGACCTACTTCACGCACTGCTGCTTCTGACTTCTGACCCCTCCATCGCCATCGTTAAAGATGTCTACTTCATCTTAATCAACCTGTCGGCAGAAGAAGGACTACACCAGGTCTGGACCAAGACTGAACCAAAACAGAACCCGGTTTAAAGCAGGTTTAAAGCAGGTTTAAAGCAGGTTTAAAGCAGGTTTAAAGCAGGTTTAAAGCAGGTCTAAAGCAGGTCTAACCCAGGTCCAAACCACACATGTCTCTCCAGGCTCTCCTCTCGGACTCGGATCTTCTCTCTCTCTGTAAAAACCTTGTTGATCCTTCGTTCCCGTTTTCGGACCAGATCTGCACCATTCTGTCCAACCTGAGCCGCAGTGACCGCAGCTGCCCCCAGGTCTACAAGGTGAGCCCTGACTATTCTGTCCAAATACTCTGCTTTCAAACATGTTAACCCCCCACCCTACTCTTCAAACGCTCCAGTCTCACATTGGCCCCCACAGCATGGTCTCGCACAGTGCACAGGTACCACAGTGGACTGTGCTTTTCTACTAGTGGGGGCGGGTCTCGGCTTAAAAGGGTCTTCCTCTCTCTTCCTCTCTTTACAGCCTGGTCCAAAAGTCAGCTCTTGGCTCAATGCAATCAAGTTCCTGATTCATGTCATTGCTGAGGGAATTATTTTTTTGGAACCAGCCTAGTTTAGTTGCTGTGGATTTTTGAATTAACGCGTTGAATCAGCCTCAAAAAGTTTTTTTTAAAACCATTTTCTTGCAGTAGGGGCTGCACTTTGACATTTAGAAAAAGTCTGTGGGGATCACTCATACATTTCAACAAGGGAAATGGGCATCACTACCGTGGACCACAGTTACTGCAGAAAACCCTGGAACTTTATAGTGTAACCACAGAGGCCCCCCTGTGGTGATCGCAGGTACTGCAACAGACAATGGGATTTAGTATAGTAGGGGGTCTCGAACTTTTTCAGCATACAAGCTACTTATAGAATGAAGACAAAACATGTTTTTTTTTTTTTTGAGGATTCCTTATATGTACAATGTATGTTCATGTATCTTGCATAACCCCATGAGCCAATACTGCACAACAAACTGAACTATACATTGTTTTTGTAGTCAATTCATTTTGTAATACAATTTTGTAGTTCCACTTAAATTCAAACTTATGTGGAGTTTGTATGCTCTACCCGTGTCTCCCATTTCCTTTGGGTACTCTGGTGCCCTTCGGGTACTCCGGTTTCCCCTATCACCAACAATAAGTGAGGGTTAAATGATTGTGTGTTTGTGAGAGCAACAGTGGGACTACATATGCGAATTAGCTACTTAGCTACAATCTTTACAGCTCCTGCTGTTCATGAATACGCACAGTCCTTTCCAAATAAACAAATAAATACAAATACGATGTCAGAATGTAGATAGTAAGGACAATGCGCCCCATGTGGTGATTACAGGTACTGCAAAAGACTGTATAGTATAGTATAGTATATTTTCATGACATTACTCCTGTGGTGATGGAAGGTACTGCAGCAGACACTGGGACTGTCCAAACTGGTAGAGATCTTCTGCTGTGAGGGCTTTAACCCCAACGCGTCCCTGCATTACGTGGGGCCGCTGCTGTCCAACCTGAGCCAGCTACAGGAAGCCCGCAAGGAGATCCTGGACCCTGACCGGTGAGTGTCTGCTGCAGAGGGAGGAGCAGCTCTACTGCGAGCCCCTGTCTGTGTCCAGACCTGATGTGTAAACGTGGTGTGTTCCAGGTGCGTGCTGCAGAGGCTCCTCCCCTTTACGCAGTATGCCGCCTCCACAATAAGAAGGGGCGGAGTCATCGGTACGCTGAGAAACTGCTGCTTTGACCACAGTGAGTGGCATCCCTCAGAGTCCAATTTAATGATATTGAACCATGCTGATTGAGGTATGAAAAAACAGTAGATACAGACAGACTTGGTAAGAATGTGTGTTGTTTCTTGGTAACAATGTGTGTGGTTACTCAGTGACAATGTGTGTTGTTACTCTGTGACAAAGTGTGTTACTTGGTGACAATGGCCCTCATTTATGAAACTTGCGTATGGCCATATCAGGGTGTAAATGAGCATTTTTCAAAATGTACGTCGATTCAGTAGGTGGTGTAAATTCCCATTTCAACCCATTTCAACCTTCATCACAACACGCCAAAACACGCATGAAAGTAAAGATTTAGACAACAATAAACATATTCCCACTCTGGAGAAATTATAAGGTGCTTTTTCATTGAGTATCAAATTTCGAAATTTGAATTTTCGTGTCAGAAAAACTGGATACACACAAACTTCGAATAAATCACAGTTAATGATGAGGACCCTCTTCTGTTTTTGATTTTAAATCTGACTTGTATGTGCATTATTTTCATCTGGATGTTTTTTTTCTATGTTTGTGATCCTGGCTTACTTACTTACTTAATGTGTGACCATCTATTTCTTCTTAATCTGTGGCAGACCCTGCGCTGCGTATTTACGCATGGTTATTTGTTTTGTCTCATTCACCTGTGGCAAAGCAACATATTTTTTCATTAGTTTTGTGCATAAAGCCCCATAAACGCAGCGATAGCAGAGATATGGCAAAGCGCTTATTTGTGGGAACGGGCTCACGGGCAGGGGCTCTTTGAGAAGTATGCAGCGAGTGCCACAGAGGTCCCACCGCACTCGCCATATGTTGTGCGCGTCATTCAGACGTTTTGGAGTTTCTCTGTGATATCATATGCATCCTTTCTGTAGAGGCGAAGATGTTGCCTGTAGATCGCCTCTTGGCTGCTAAGATTTTAAGGGTTTCCCAAACGCGTGTCTCCACAAACCTCAGTCCAAATAGTGTATTAGAGGTTTCTTTATTGGCCCCTATGACCATTAATCCAAATAACATAATACATTCCACAGTAATTGACACGGTAAGAAACAGTATACCTCCAAACCTAGCAGCACCTGTGCCCTCTAATTCTGCCCTTTTTATAGGAGAATGGGCTCAGGTCACATAACGCCCACAGCGGCACCCTGTGGCTAGGGAAAGGTACATTTTGGCTCCTACACACCGGCCCCTTAATTGTGTGTGCAGGAGTACAAACAATTACAAAACAAATAGAAGGAGCCAAAATAGAGTAAGTTATCATGTACACATCTTAAGTAGAAGTTACAATATGGGATATTTATGTATTAACAAAGTTCCGTAATCCTATTCCGTTACCAATAGTCCAAATCAATACCGAATATAAATACACAATTTCCATCTTTTACGTTTGAACATTTTCATGGGTTTCACATGCACAACAAAAATGGCCTTTTCCACATTCCACACAGAAAACATGTTCATTTTTACCAAATTTTGTTCAAACAAATTAGCGCTCGGCTCGCGTAAGATTTTAGTTTGTACACTACATTTTTGAACCTTTACATTGAGTCTTGACCTCTCAATTGCCACAGTCACATACTCTCCAATAGTGACCAGGACGCCAGTAGCCTCCTTTGTGCTAGTGTCTTTTGGTGGACAACTTTGAGAGCCCCCTGGTGGTGCCAGAGCTAGAGGTGTGCAGTCTCTCACCTCATCCACACGCTCATAGTTTTCAGTCTCTTTTGCTTCAGCTGTGACTGCATGAAAATCAGGAACAAGGCAAGGTGGAGACCATATCAAAGATTCAAACAGTTCTTTGATAGGATCTGAATCTGATTTAAGCTCCATCATACGATCAACACATTTGGGAAGTGTCCAATCACGTACCCCGGCCCCTGTTTGGAAGCACGGAGACTGGCTTCATCGTTGATTGGCGTGGCGGTGACACAGCTGCGCGAGACGACATCACACATTTTGATGTAAACTTTTTTGCAGATTTTAGGACGTCCAACTCCGCATTAGCAGCAGTAATTTGAGTTTCAATTTCAAGCATTTCAAGCTGCTGTTTGACTAGTCTCTGTTGTTCTTCAATCTCATGTTTTTGTTTCATAAAAGACGCTTTGACCAGCAGAGCCGCTCGCTCAGCCTCTGCCTTTATGTAAGCAGAAGATTTTCCGCTGCGTCTTTTGTCAGCGCGTCTCAGTCCACACACATCGTTATTAGGGTTCATATTTGCATGTCCATTCATGGTCAGATCATAGCAAATCTCATTCAGTTCTTGTATACACGCGTGGCTCTACATCCACGAACCTCTTTGATGCGCTCCTCCAATAACGCGCACGGCGGCGCGCGCTCCCGTCTTGAAGCTCCAACTGCCCCCGTTCCAAACACCGCTGTCACTGGCGTCCTTCCACTCCTGATCACGATCCGCTGCGTGTGGTCCAGCCGGGCCCTCCACTGCACGTGCGCGCGTTACTCCAGATCCTTCAGTAACCCCGCACAGTGCTGTCCTAGGCTACAGCAACAGTCGAGGCCCCACTTGTTGGGAACCTGAGGTTGTTTCTTACTTAATGTAGAGGCGAAGATGTTGCCTGTAGATCGCCTCTTGGCTGCTAAGATTTTAAGGGTTTCCCAAACGCGTGTCTCCACAAACCTCAGTCCAAATAGTGTATTAGAGGTTTCTTTATTGGCCCCTATGACCATTAATCCAAATAACATAATACATTCCACAGTAATTGACACGGTAAGAAACAGTATACCTCCAAACCTAGCAGCACCTGTGCCCTCTAATTCTGCCCTTTTTATAGGAGAATGGGCTCAGGTCACATAACGCCCACAGCGGCACCCTGTGGCTAGGGAAAGGTACATTTTGGCTCCTACACTTTCTCTCTCACAGAGATCGCTCCATTGCATTCACAAGAAGATGTCGCTGACGCTTGACCCAGTTAATGATGAGAGTCACCGCTGAGATTTAAATATTCATTCATTCATTCATTCATTTCTAAAGTTAAAGAGAGATGAGTGCTGCAGTGGATCTAGACACTAGGGAAAAATGCGTATAATATAGCGTAATTTTTTTTTTTGACAAAATAATACAATAAAACTGAATATAAACTCAGTGCGTGCCAGTAGCAAGCCTTTTAAGGCTTCAAACTAGTTTTGCAGGCCAACTTCCACCAACGGGCGGTTTCTGAATATTAATAGGCGTGACTTTCATGAATACGCTAGTTTTGAGCGCGGCATTTATCAACAGCCGCGGCTGCGTACGCTCAGATCTGTGCGGATCTCACACGTTCAGAAATCCTGTGTTAAAAAATATATAGTTTTATATAATGAGGGCCAATGTGTGTTGTTACTCGGTGACAATGTGTGTTTCCAATTGTCCTGTTTAACCGGTACCAGGTTCTTCTTTAGTCCTTCTTGGTCCTAGTTCTTTCCTGGCTGAGCTGGTATTCTAACTGACAGTGATTGGTGAGAGTGCTGCTGAAAGCCATGGTTATTAAGGAATTTTTCTGCATACTGGTTTGTGAAATACTAAAATGAAATGGAAACGCAACCAAGTTGACTGGATTTGATTACAGAATTCTACTGTTATGCAGGCTATGCCCCCCAGCTTTAAGAGCACATGTGTGGTCTGCAGATCATCACGAGTGGCTGCTGAGTGAAGAGGTCGACCTGCTGCCCTTTCTGCTGCTGCCACTGGCCGGACCTGAGGAGCTAAGTGAGGAGGAGAACGAAGGTACACGTACACACACGCACCCTGCACAGGTCTGGTTTCTGGTTTCTCTGGTCTCTGATTTTTCTTTTTTTAAGTTGCTATCTGTAGTATCATATCTCTCTGGCTTTTGATTTCCAGTCTCTGATGTGTGGTCTGTGGTCTCAGGTCTCTTTAAAGCTGTGGTCTCCAAGTGTCTCTGGTGTCTCGTGTCTCTGGTGTCTCTGTCTCTGGTGTCTCTGTCTCTGGTGTCTCAGGTGTCTCGTGTCTCTGTCTCTGGTGTCTCAGGTGTCTCGTGTCTCTGTTCTCAGGTCTCTTTAAAGCTGTGGTCTCAGGTCTCTTTAAAGCTGTGGTCTGTGGTCTCAGGTCTCCCGTTGGACCTGCAGTACCTGCCTGAGGACAAGCAGAGGGAGCCGGACCCGGACCTGAGGACGATGCTGGTAGAAACACTGCTGCTGCTGTGTACGACTAGCAGAGGGCGGCGTGAGCTGAAGACCAAACAGGTGTACGCGCTCATGAGGGAGTTCCACCAATGGGAGACAAACGCCCGGGTCAAGAGCAGCGCGGAGAAACTCATCCAGGTGAGAAATCACAAACCTCACCTTAAGACAGAGGAGGTCCTGAATTTACGCACAGGAATTTTAGGAATAGAGCTGCAGCTATCGAATATTTTTGTAATAATAAATCATATTTTTGTGTATATATATATATATATATATATATAATATATAAGGCTTAATTATCAATATACAATATCAAATGACAAACCAATTAATAACTATAATGATCTTTCTGCACTAGAATATACAATATTTAGGCCCGAGCCCCGACTGGGGTAAGGGCCTATTGCTTTCACAATGGTGAATGCTAGGAGTCGCGGTGCGTGACGGACGCGTCAGTGCCCGTCACAGCAGCAGTACTGTTGATAAATGCCGCGCAGTGCCAGTAATACCCTATCCAGTTTTTATTATAGATCCATGAGTAGAGCGCCCGGGAACCCATCTCCAGATGTTGATGCTCTGCTTGTCAGGGATATAACCTAGTGTGCATGTTTCTAGTGGTAGGGGAAACTGGAGTACCCGGAGGAAACTTACGAAAGCATGGGGAGAACATGCAAACTTCTTCTTTCTGAGAGGTGAGAGTGCTATCCACTTAGCCACTGTGCCGCCCACCCGTTATGTGCTAAATTTGTGCTAAATTTCAAACATTTTGAATAAAGTCTGTTTTGCCCTCTTGATTAAAAAAGTCAATGACACCCAAGACTTATTTTTTACCCTGTTGCCGTGGTGATGACAAATGCTCCCCCATTGTCCCCATGTTGTTGGCAAATGTACACCTTGCACAAACATCAAACCAGCCTTGGCCATTTCACTGATTTGGCTGAGAATCGCTCCACATCATCTCAACACATGTACCCTAAATAGTTGTTTGTACAATTTGGATTAGTCACATGGTCATCCAATGGAGACTTTTATGGACACACTCACTGATTATACATGTGCTCCTGTTTTCACATTCAAAGTCTGATTTGTACTAAACTTGACTCGGTTCTTCTGAGCCAAAGTTTTACATGGGGAGCCAAACCGATTGATTACAATTTTACACTGCTGGAGTAAATCATGGCGCGTCGGCGCCACCTCCGTTGCTCGGTGTGAAGAGGGCTGTTTGACGCCGCTTGCAGCTTTAATTTATACTTGCTTTTTTATTATGCTAAAGTTGAGATCTTGTAATTGCTTCTTTATTATGCTAAAATTAGAGATTTTATTGCACCGGACCATTTGTTGCATTGAGTTTCAATGCACAGTCAATAGTGACGTACGTTGGTGTGAATGTTTGCATATGCGTTACAGCACGCAGGTTTGTCTGGGAGGAGATACGTTGTTGCACCACAGCACAGGTGGTGGGTACGGCGAATCAACGCATGCAGTGAACACAGGAGATGAACATTGTTAATTTTTTCTGCTGGACGGACATGCAGCAACCAATGAGAGAGCAGCAAAGTGGTCAGAGCAAGAATCGAACACAATCAAAAATAACCACAACAGCTAAACCCAGACTAAACCAGGACTAAACCAGGACTGACACAGTGCTTGTGAATATATGCCTCCAGACTGAGTTCTCATTCTCCTGCGACTGTACCTGAGTGCTGCTAACGTGTTTGCTGATACGGGAGTACGGGTTAATAACATAATACATCCACGACGCAGCTTCATGAGCATATACTGCTGTATTATGATGCCTCTGGAGGATCTCAGACACAGGAGCTGCACTCATGGAAGGGAACTTTATACGAGATGCGTTTTCCTTTGATTTTGTGTGAAAGTGTTGCCACACTTTGGACAACTTTCGACGCTTCTAAATTCTCCCGTTTTTTGCTGTTGCTGTGTAGTGCAGGGCACGTAGGATCTGTTGCATAAACAGGTACAAGACATGAAGATTCTGTGCAAAAACAACTCGGCAAAAAACTATACTTGCATATTATTTGTACTCTAATTACTCGAGTTACTTGAGTAATTGATTCAGCTTTAGACATGAAGTTTTATACATGAGCTTTAATGTTTCCCCTCAGGTCCTGATTGGAGACGAGCCACAGAGTGGGATGGAAAACCTTATGGAAGTTTCAATCCCAGAAGATGTGGAAGAAAAACTGAAGAAAGCGGACGAAGAAGAGGAGCAGGAGCTGGCCCTGGATCAGAACTGAACCAGGAGAAAAGCAAGTCAGACCAGGTCTAAAGCAGGACTTGACCAGATCTGGACCAGATCTGAACCAGGACTGATGCCGGCTACATTTTTGTCTGACCTCATTTTTGTGTAAAATATTGTAAAATCTGAAAGATTCTCCTGTAATAATAAATGTGAATTTATAAGTCTCCAGTTAATTTTTGTGTGTGTGTGTGTGTGTGAGAGAGATATATTTCTACAAAACTTAGTCATTTGAAATCTTTTTGTGAATGTTTATCTAGTGATGGAATGAAACTAGCAGGTAAAGTCACTAATATATTATCAGAACGGGTGAATGGCACATGTTCAGCAGGTCTGACAGTATTTATTACAGAGTGCTATTATGGTCAGAAAGTTTCATACCCCAGCCCCAGATAGCAAGCGGAAGTCGGCCACATGTGGCAAAAATGTGGATCATATGGCATTATTACGGCCCAAGTTAACCAGATCTCGCCCAAACGTGGGCCACATTTGGTATGCTATTAGTGACCCAAACATGGCAATTCTATTTGCTATGGACCAGGCATAGCAAATAAACGGCAGTTCTGGAACGGAAAAATGGTGGATGAAACAGATGTCAACCAAACGTGGGCCACATTAGGCATACATGGCAGTTCTGGAACAGAAAAATGGTTGACGATTATATTTCTCCATAGGTATTTGGTGTCTCAGGTCTCTCTCTCTGGTTTTTCTGGCTTCTCTGTGTCCGTGTCCTCAGCATAATCAATTTCCACCGATTAAAAAATGACTGTCACAGCTGATAAAGAGAGATCAACGCCACTTTTGTTCTGTGCCTTTTATAACGCGGTTGTGACATAAGAACTAAACCGCAGCCAATAGCAGAGGAGCTCCGGTTGAGACTTCCACGGCGCACGGAAAATTAAAATCCCGTAGTCACACGTTAGCGATGTCAATTCATGTATGTGTCAGAAAGCGGTCCGAGTACAGGTGCAAACCAGATTAACCTTAAATCAGGAAAAAGGAAGACTCGGTTCGCCTTTCAAATAATTTGGACTCATATTGTTGTGAGATTTCCGAGGTCCATGAACGCAACACTGCACTTTACTCACATCAAGAGGAAACGCGTTGTGTAATTTATGGGTTAAAAGTGAACTTCACAGCAGCGAACGACTACTAAACCAGGATTGTACCCGGTCTGAAGCAAGTCTAAAGGAGGACTGAATCAAAACTGTACAAGGTCTAAACCGGGACAGAACGAGGACTGAACTAGGATTAACCAGGTCTAAACCAAGACTGAACCAGATCTAAACTAGGACTCAACCAGGACTGAACCCTCCAGAAGCCGTAGCATCCCGGTACTAGGTGAGTTCGCCGTGTTGCCAAACATCATCATCATCATCATCGTCATCGTCATCATCATCATACACAGCTATTATTCCAAAATAACGAAACTAATAAGGTAATGAGGCTAATACAACTTAACTATCTGTCTCAAACTTTAATCAAGTTAGTGATCCGCTGAAATAAAAAAACATTAGAATAAAACAGAAAATATTACAAGATCCTTTCCTACTGTACAAGTATCAAGGTAAATCAGGAGTGGATTGACCGAGTGTGACATTACCATTGTATTAGCCCTAATACAGAAGAAGCTGATTTGAACATAAGTTAGCTGAAGCCAATCTCCTTACACAGTGTTTTGTGCAGTATTTGTTTATCTGTCATATTATCCGACACTGTGTCTGGCCATTATCCGAGAATTAAAATGTCCAAAATAAAGTAAAGAGGGTCTTGGCCATATGGAGTATGGAGTCTGACTGTTTGAGGCCTGTGGACAGGGTGTCTTTTTATACAGATGAGTTCAAACAGTGCCATTAATACAGGTAAAACGAGTGGAAGGACAAGAAGAGCTTTCTTAAAGAAGAAGTTACAGGTCTGTGAGAAAGCCAGAGATCATCCTTGTTTGAAGTGACCAACTACTTATTTTCCACTCATCATTTACAAATAAATTCTTTAAAAAATCCTACAATGTGAATTCCTGGATTTTTTTTCCATTCTGTCTCTCACATTGAAGTGAACCTATGAAGAAAATTACAGACATCTGTCTTATTTTAAGTGGGAGAACTTCACAATTGGTGGCTGACTTTTTTGCCCCACTGTATGTTCTTAAATCCGGACTCTGAGAGCACAGGGACCTGGCCTCCTGCTCTGAGGATGCACAAGGACTGCCCCTGCTGGGACTCTGAGGAGCCACAAGGGACTCGCCTCCGTGCTGGTGGGGGAAAAAAAACCCCTCTGAGGAGCACAGGGACGACTCCTGCCTGGACTCTGGAGGACACAGACAGGCCACCTGCAGGGACACTGAGGAGCACAGGGACGTCCTCCTGCTCTGAGGAGCACAAGGACTTACTGGCCTCCTGCTTGACACTGATGAGCACAGGGACTAGCCCCGTGCGGGACTCTGGGAGCACAGGGACAGGATCCTTCCCTGGGACTCTGAGGAAGCCATGGACTGGCCTCGTGCTGGGACAATGAGGAGCACAGGACTGGACTCCTGCTGGGACTCTGAGAGCACAGGGACGGCCTCCCGCTGGACTCTGATGACACAGGGGAACTGGGGGACCTCCTGCTGGGACTCTGAGGAGCACAGGACTGGCCTCCTGCTGGGACTCCTGATGAGCACAGGACTGGACTCCTGCTGGGACTCTGATGAGCACAGGTACTGACACCTTGCTAGTCCCAGAGTCAGGACTAAACATGGGGAGCAGCATTTAAGATTTATGCAGCTAAAATCTTTGAAAGTCTTCCAGAAAATAGTGAGACAGGCTTCTAGCTGACATGTTCAATCCAGGTTAGAACAGTTTCATTTAGCTGTGAATAACTGGGGATTCCTATCTTTCAGTGTTTAAAGTGCATTGTTTCAGCACTTTGCGTAGCTTGTGTATGAATTGTGCTATATAAATAAACCAGCCTTTCTCTCTGTCCTTACACACCTTTTTGCATTCTCTTTTCAGTTCTGTTCACAGCAGAATTGAAATATAAAATTTAATAATGATAAGAACCGACAACAGTGCGTATATATTTGCCGGGCTCAGAAGGCCGACAACATCCCGGCAACAAGTCAGGTGCTGGGGAACCAGAGCCCCCTTATGAAAGTGGGCTACTGGAACAAGGAAAGTGGTCGAGATCTGAAAACAGGGCTCTGTTGGAATGCTACAAACTCGAGTAACCCGGCCAAGAGAGGTTACATGCAGAGAATGTGGGCTGAATGGTTAACTTCGTAACCCACAGTCACTAGTGACACCCCGAAACAACCGGTAAGCTCATGCTCCAACAATCCACAAAAACGGCAACTGCTTATCACACTTGAGATCGATGAGGTACCATACACATGTATGATGCCAAAGGTGCACATTACTGCGGTCAGAGGGGAGGACCCACCAACTGCAACTCACCCAACCAGATATTGGGACACAACGCCCCAATGGAACCAATAACTGCTGAAACGAGGCAGCGACTGACCTGAAGCTCAAATCATGGCTACAATGGCACAGATGACGGCAAAGACACACCGGTTACAGCGGTTGTGTGAAGTACCACGTAAGGATCTCATAAGAAAACAGTGAATGCAGCCGTGAGGGCAATACCTACCACCACAAATCACTGAACCAATGAGCTGAACTAACACTTCAGCAGCAGTGATCCTAAATGCTTGGCTAAAAAAGAGCAACCAGGGAAGCCATGGACAATACCCACCATGAAAAGATGGTATGGAGGCTGAGATCAAGGTGGCTCGAGAGAAGAGAGTCAATTAACAGAGAGCCCATAAAGGTGCAATGAAAAGATCCAGTACCCAGAAAATGTACAGCCAGATAACCATACAGAAGCACTCGAAACTGCCAACAAATTCTCCAGACTGGCCAGCCGCCTACAGAGGTACACTAAAGAGATTATGAAGCCAGAGGTGAACAGGCAGTTCGCAACACAACCTGCGAAGGTGTACGCTCAGTGGCATGGTAACAACAGGGTAACAACAGGGAAGCAACAGGGGAGCAGACCCACCGAGCTGGAAACTGAACATTTCTGGAAGAACATATGGGAGAAGGATGCGCACATACAGAGCAGGGCACCAATGGCTGGTGTCCCTGAATAGAGGAGCACATCCACCATCCCAGAACAGAACTCAAGTTTACCAACACAGAAGGCAGACATCCGGGAAAGAGTCCAGGTATGGAAAAACTGACAGCACCTAGCCCTGATATGGACCATGCCTACTGGCTTAAGGAACACTCACAACACTCCAGAGCGGCTCGCACACAAATGGAACCAGCTGCTGAGAGTTGGGTCTCAACCAGAATGCTAACCGAAGGGCGAACGGTCCCTGATCATAAGCAGTCCCCTCCAACTACCGCGGCCAATAACTTGTCTCTCCACAAACATGGAACTCTGTACAGTATCTTGCGGCTAAATAAGTGGGCATATGGAACAATTCATGAGCACAGCACAGAAGGCATTGGTAGGGACTCCAGATTGAGCCAACACCAGCTCCTGTAGAGACATCCAAGAGTAGCCAAAACACCACTCCTGGTTGACAGAACAGAAATGTAGCAGGATGGTGAATCCAGAGACAAGTAGTCCACCAGAAGGATCTCACTCCCAAATCGGCAACTCGATATCCAAGGGAACAATAGCAAACTTTAGGACAGTTTACAAGTAATCTCGTTTATAACCACAGGCAAATGGCAACCTCGAACAGACCTGGCAACTAGAAAGCGGCAACTGGCCAATACCTACCAGCGAGTAAGGCAGGTCTAAAGAAGCCGGCTCAAATGGCAAGCACAAGGCTCGGGCAATTAACAGCTACGCCTGCCAGAGAACATATACACTGCAGGAATAATCAGGCCAAAGGATGAGATTCAGACCAAACGATGTTAAAACACGAAAGTGCCTTACCATGCAAGCGGGTTACATCCCCAATCCAGCACCCTAGACTAGTACGTAAGCCGTAAAGAAGGAGGC